GGTAGACACAAACATCAACATATAGGTCACAGATCCCCTCCACCAAAAAAGAAATCAACAACACACATACAGAACGACACAATAGCGTTCCATAATTCACAAATGAACAACCACTTTTGAAAAAAACATTAAAAACCCTTACTACAATGAGGCATTTCGATTACAAATCCACACAACAAATTCAACACAACATACATCACAAATTCAAAAATACTTCATCAATACACATTACCCATCGATTAAAATGAAGATAGGTATGCTCGAAATAAGTGAACAATTGAAAAATATCAAAACCACCTTCTTCGACGACTGTTTTGCGACCGAACTTCTGGATTTTTGTCTTTTAGAGGATGATTCCTTCTGCACTTCATCCAACTTCCTTTTACCTCTTCTTCCTGACTCGTAGATTTCAATTTTCTCCCCATGTTTCCCACTGCCTGAACGAGTCGTCGTTGAAGTTTTAGAATACTTCGGTTAAACTGTGATCACTGTTTTGGAAAGGAATGTAAAAAATATGTGACCGACAGTGGAAGAAGTTGTTCGGGGAATCGCCGGAGAACGACAGTGATGAACGTCTGAATATGGGTTGGATGAACACGGTTTGGATGAACACCGATTTAATCGAAAAATGGGATACGTGAGGAACGTGGGTTCATATGAAAATGACGGTTTTATGAAAAGGACGTGCAAGGAGTTTTTAAAGAAATACAGTTTCTAAAATTTGAATTACGTGACTTTAGAGAGAGATAGTTATTAAATAATTTTAAATTAATTAGGAAATGAAAAAAAAAATCTGATTAGTGAAATATTAAACTTCTACTCTTATTTGGGAAATATGAATAGATAAACTATGGATTTGTGTAATTACCACTTCTAATTAGGGTTTATTTCCGGCTCACATATTTTAAATTACCACATCAAATTAATTACAACAACCCGTAAGCTGTAAAAATGTCCAATTAATCACTTAATAAATTTGGCCCAAACACAATATCATTATGAGCTATACTTCTAACCCGTAAAAGTTGCAATCGAATGTGAAGCCCACATATGAAACTATTAATTATTCCAACACAACCTGCATAGCCATTACAAATCTACAATCCTTGATGTTCCACCACTGTGGTATGGATGTAATTATTTCAAAGTTAATAGGCAAAGACCGGAGGATTGGTCTTACCATATTCGCCAACCACAATCCTGATCGAACAATACAGTAAACTGTAAAACTATACTTCAACTTCCACACTCAATTTGGTATTGCCGCTTGTCCTCAGCCATGTAAGATATGCATATCGCACTAAAAGAAAATGAGTCTATCTGATCCCATAATTGGCGGAGGGACGTCAGGGTGTGTCGGATGCGCCGGCGGCTTGGGAGGTATAACATCCGGCCCATGCGGTGGAACTACCTCAGGTTGTCCAGGTGGCAAAGGACCTGGTGGAGGCGGTATTGGATTAGGTGGGCCTGGAAATTCTGGTACTGGGTTCGGTGAAAGTGGTGGTGGGTCAGCCGGGTTTTCCGGTGGAATTGGGTCAAAATCTGGAACATTAGGCGTCCTTGGCAACTCTGGAGGCAGTGGCACAGAAGGCTTGTATGTTCGTGGTGCCGTACGAATCTCCGGAGGAGATTTTCCAGGCAGCTCCGACGGGTCATGCCCCACCATTTGGGTCGAAACATACGTAAAATTTGTGCTGCTACATGACTGGTTCCTCAGACAAATTGTTTTGCTAATAAAAGATTTTGATGTGGAGAATGGTACGGATTTCATGATAAGGTTGGACGAAGCACTATACATTTTGCTGAAATACTTTAGGATGGGTAGAAAGATAAACCCTAAATATATTGCATGTAAAGGATACACGTGGATGGCATGCACAATTCGTGAGTGTAGTGCTGTCATGATTATGTGGCCAACTTTCATATGACGGTACACTCAGATTTTGGAGCTAAATATACTGAAATAATTTTTGCAATTTGTAAATTGTATCTGTCAAAATTTTATAAAATATGCCTATTTAATCTTGAAAATGACTGTATTATCCTTTTATAATACAACTATGCTACATGTACACCTAGCCTTACAGCTCGGTTAACAGCTCCCTCACATGGGGTGAGCCCCATACATTAATTGAGCGTAGGATCCTCCTCTCATGTAAGGGGAGTGTACACCGAACTGTAAAGCTCGATCTATAAGGGACATTGTTCTTTATATAATAATATTCTCCCGTCAATAACAGATGTTGTTATATGATTTTATCGGATTTTTTGGAAGTAAACTATCGTCGGGAAGGAAGTGTGTTACTTAATGTAAATTTTATGATAAAAATACAATAAAAATTATTACAGATATTAGTACGACAACAATAAACAAAAAAGTTGAGATCCTTTAATTCTATTAAAATGTGGTGCTAAGCACATTATTTTTCAAAAATATTTCTCCCAGTTTTGTAATTTTATGTGTTCTGTTATATAGATTTATGATGACTAATAAAGAATCTATACTTTTAAAAGAATTTACAATATTGAGCTAATTACTTGAGTTGACGATTTTATATTATGACATTATAGTCTTGAGCATAAAATATCAACTTTGGGGTGTCATCTCATTATAGGTGTCGACGTGATAAGTGTAGTTTTTACACTTATTCCGAACTTTGAACTAGCTAGTACATTTGAATATTTTTGAGTTTGGATTTCTATTGATTTTGTGAATTTATTTGTGTTTTATGTTTGATCCATGGGTTGACTGCAAACAAGGATATGGAGGTGAAATAGAAGAATATAATTAAGACACGATGACTTGAAGTGAAATGAAGCTCGATGATTGAAACAATAATGGCAAAATAGCGGAGCAAAATAAAACTAGGGTTAAAAGTCGGAAGAAGAAACATTCGGATAGCACCATGATATTTTTCATGGATTTTCACCAAAATTATGATATTATGTGTGATTGAAGTTTGGCCGAAGAGACGAGTATGGGCAGCCGCCAATTTTGTTGTACAATGGTATGTTAGGTATATTGATCTTATTCTTGATGATATATGGCTCAAAAAGTGGTCATGAACTGAATGTAATCTTCAACTAAACAAGATATTTGTCTCTGATACTATTATAAAGTTCAATGTTATCTCTCATACTATCTCTATTTTTTTATTATCTTATACCGTTTATAGTTATTTATTGCAAAACCTTGTTTAAAGTTTTGATTGATCAAAATTGCTTCGTCATTTTAAAAGGCTGCAACTATAACAGAAGAAAATCATTTTCTCAAATCAAAACCATACAAACTAAATGTTTTAGGGGAAATTCATACTAATACTGTATTATAAGTTGATTTTATAATTATCAACAGGCTGCATTTCTATTTAAATTGCTGAAATTTTTTTAAATCCAAATAAGTGGAATTAGCATAATAAAAGGCAACAAGTCAAGGTTTATTATTTCTAGACGATTGTTAAGGTAATTAATCAAATTAACCCTATATTTAAACAATCACACAAATATAAAGATCAAAAGCAATAAATAACACCAAATATGATTACGGAGAAAAATCCCTTCTCAAGATAAAAAAATCTCTAGGCAACTGCTAGTAAAATTCACTAGAAAATTATCTTGTAATTGGTTTAGACATCGTTAAACCTTAGCCGAATTTAACTACCTAACTTTTAAATCACCAAGAAACTCCATTGGTTATGTGACCGCACTTACCAACAACCCTAGAATAATTTTCTCTTCGTGTAGATTATCGAGTTCATTTCGGAGCACTAGAACTTCTAGCACCTCTTCTAGTTTTGGTTGGTGTCTGATCAACGATCTTTTGTCTTTTGATCTATAATTGAGGCAAGAGATATATGGTTATATATTTGATTTCGAAGTATATTCTATTTAGGTTATAAAAGGCTCAACCAATAACAATTTTTGGGATGAATTTAAGAAACAAAGATCTTGGGGTTGAATCAAGAAATCAATATAATGTATTTTAGATCTTCAAAGGAATGATCTATATTATAAAATAATGATTCAAAAATATGAAGCATTTTGAGGTTGAATAGGATTAGAAAATCAGTAAAAATCGTGAATCTAGTGTTTTCTAGATAACACCTCCACTCATGCAACTATTGGGGGGACTAGAGAGCGATCTCTAAGCAGTTGACGATATTTTTATCATAACTTTTTTTTCTCGATATCGGATTGAGGTAATTCAAAGTTCGTCTGAATGTTAATTCAAAGGGTTATAATTCTTCTTGAAGTAATATTTTTCAAGTTCGAAAGTTTTCTATATGGAAAGTGCATTACAACTTGTGACTGAAAATTTTAGAGCATGATACTCATTTGACTACTAATTGCATTTTTTTGATCGTATGTAATCTTCTTGGACATTTTGACTCTTCCAAGCACTATACTATCAATTCTTAACTATTTGACTTTAATTATAATTTCATTACTTTGTCTAAGAAATAGCCAATTACAAATAGATCTAATATAAATCTTTTATAAAATAATATATTACTTGCATGAATTTTATATTAATGGCAAAAAATGTAAGAGGACAAGAATATTCACGTGACAAGAAACTTAAATCTTGTAATTTACCCAAACTTTTAGAATAATATCAAAAAGAATAAGAGCAATGTAAGTTGTACATAACACCATGAATTCGATTTTCAATAAATTGATTAAAAAAATGGGCCCTCTAGCTTATAAGTATGAGCTTCATTGGGGTTTCTTTTCAAGAATACAAAAAGTACAAATAAATGAGAATTACTGACTTTTGTTATTGATGAAAGTTGTACGTAACACCATAAATTCGATTTTTGATATTTCCCTAATAAACTTGCTAATTCCATAACATCATAGTGTATATATTAAAAAATAATAATAAAAAAATAAAAAAATTAATTTTGGCAAGAGAGTGGCATTCACACTCCAATCCGACAAGGTCGTTCTGAATATATAGAAAGTTTGTCTTCTTTATTTTTCCCTTTTCATTAGGGCAGTAAGACAAACAAGACGCCAAAAATGATGCTGGGTAGAAAAAGACCACCAACTTTCCTTTCATTTCCCAAACAAATAGAGACGACTCAACCCCAGACAAAGGCCAAAGCTCCCTCTTTTCTGCTTCCTTTCTTCTTCCTCCAATAGAATCAAAAGTCCCTGTCCCTTTTTTCTTCTCTTCCATCAACACGTCTTCTGATTACAACCAGACAACATTAGTTCATAAATTTTTAACTTTTTTTCAAAATGGGCATTTAGTCTTTGTAATTTTGTCATAAAGTTTTAGGGGGCTTCTTTTTGGGGGGGAAAATGCAATCAGAGAATTCAGAGGAGGCGCGATCGGTGGCTGGAGCTACAGATACGAGAGGGAAACATAGGATTTCTGCCGAATTGAAGAGACTTGAGCAAGAAACTCGTTTCTTGGAGGTTTGTGTCTGATAACTACTGTCTTTTTCTCTGACCTTTGACCTTGTTTTCAAGATTTGTTTTTTATGTTATTTGATTACCTTGGAAGTTAAATTTAGTGTTTCTTGATTTTGAATGCTATTGGTGAAACCTTGAGGTGGGTCGTTTGGTGTTTTGGCACATTTTTCATTTAGCTGATAATGCTGTAACAATTGAATTCCTTCTTTTCTTGGTGTAAGACAAAAAAAAAAAAATTAAAATAATGGTTTCTTAATTTTTTGAGTTAGTGGGACAGTTCGATTGCAAATTGTTGATGCAAAACTGCGGACTTAGTCGACCTTCTCAGTGTGGGCTGTAGGGTAATGGGGAATTTGCTGCTATGGTAGATTGATGTCCATGTCAAATTTTGTTATGAGAACAGTGACGAACAATTTTGTATTATTGATTGTGTGTATGGCCAAAATTGTTACTTCTTTGGGACAACCGGTTGTCAAAGTTATTTGGGACTTGTATAATCGTTGGACTTGTGTCTCAGAATCACACCCATTAGGTCATTTCTTAGTTTTTGATTGGTGGGTATATAGGCTTTGCACGTTCCTATTGTGCTGTTACATTCCCTAAGGTGGGTGTCATTCCTATGCACTTGCTTGCATGTTTGACACATTTGTCACGAGCGTCATTAGCTTCGCCTCCTAAACTCGAAATCTCGTTGAGTGATCTCATTGGAACATGTGGTTGACCCTTACTTTTGAATAAGTTTGGCAATGTCATGGGCTGGTTCACTTGTCAACTTTAGCTTATATAGCACGAGCTCAGCTCAGTCCCAAAATGCCAGGTCATATAATACTTTTGTCCTCACAAGTTCAATTTACACGTGGGTTCTGTAAGGAGGAATCTCCTGCAATTGATAAATGTTGATCAAGGGTATTGATTTATCTCTATATAAGTTGACTTGGACATTCTTTACTTTTCCTGATATTAGGAGGTTCAGATGGTAAGATTATTCATTGGAGTAGCATAATCATACTGTACATGATGATTTTGCGTGGAAGAGGAATCTTAATGGAGGATAAGATTTCCATCTAATAAGTTGCATGTATATAGAGAGTAAAGTATGGTCTTGAAAAATTTCATTTTATTTTCCCCTCTGAATATATAGATGTTTCTTTTGAATAAATTGGTATTGCATCTAGTATCTGGTAGTAAGAAATGCTTGGACTAAAACATTCTAAGACTAGTGATTTCTAGTACTATTTGATTAACTTGCTTCATGATTAGTATGTGTTCTTGATGTGATTTTGATTGAGTTAGCTCCAAAAGTTCAGACTATGGATTAAATTTTTGAGAGGTAACGGTGGTTATAAGATGTTTGCAGTATTGGTTTGTTATTTCGTTTAGGGAAGTAATTCTCATTGAGGTTTGAAGCATATTGCTTCCTCCAATATCAGTAGTCTTGTCATGCTTCATTGAAATTGTCAAAAGAAAAAGAAAGTATATGTGATCATTTTTGCTTCCTTTTCCCTCTGTAAATATATCTGGGGAAAATTACGGATAGGTTAGGGAAAAATTGCAGTAGAGGTCTCTAACCTATGTATTTGGTGCAAATGGATCCCTAACCTTTAATTGTTGAACTCATCAACCTTTCACTTTGGTAGCAAACCAGTTTTAATGGAGTTTTGATTTTGTCCAATTACTGATGAAATGGCACATGACTATCATGTCGACTCTTCAGACAGATGAAATGGGTAAAGACTTAATTTCTGTAAAATAAAATGAAAGAAAGAAAAATGAAGAACATTCAATAGAAAACAAAAAAAAAAAAAAATGGAAAAAAGAGAACAAATGCATCATCTTTGCTATCCATCCCTTCACACACCCATCCGAAATCTCCAGCTACCACCAAACAAACTAGCCCCCCCCCCCAGCTACCCTACCTTGTTAGTTCGCCCCAACTCTATGCCTCAATCCATATCAGGTGCCATCTTATCTAACACTGCTAGTGCCATACCTAAAGCTTGTCATCACGGACGTAATTGGGATGCATGTCTCTTTAAAATTTTCTATATTTCTTATTAAGGATGTGCATTTCAAATGGCTACAATTTTTCTGCAAACCAAAATGGACATAAACTTGAAGGGCCGACATCAGTCTGTACTTGTACACTTCAAAGAAGAGTCATGACATGATCACGCTAGACCATAACAAGTCTACAAAGTAACAGTTTCCAGCAACATGTAAAGCATCAATGAATGTCTTGGCCACAACATCCACAAATATAGCTGATTGGATCAGGTTGAGGATGCGTTGTAAGGGAGCACTTTCAGTGCGTACTGTTCCTTGGTAAATACTCTGGAAATTGGCAGCCTCAATCGAAGGCAGACTCAAAGTTATCATCATTTGCTTGGAAAAACACACTCAGAGTATATATTGTTTGGGAATGAACAAGCTGATTATCTTTAAGAAATTTGAGTTTTTGGGCACTGGATTTCTATAGCTGGGTGGATGAATCTAAGAAATAGTGAGAATTCTTGATCTCTCTCAATTTGAAAATCCAGGATTTGAATTGATGTCCTTTTCAGTGATTCCTTTTAAATTGACAGGGTGGTTACAGTGGTGATGGGATTGTAAGGGGTTACAGAGGCCCTTTTTTCTTTAATTCTGTTCTTTTTTGTTTCACTCAAATTAAGTTTCTACTCATTAATCCTTAACAGATAATGGATTTATGAAACTGACATCCAATTTCGATGCCAGTTTGGATATCCGTCTATGGGGACTGAGTCTGCTGTAAAAGTGATAGATTGAGGATGTAAATGGCTAAATGCCAAGATTTAAAGGTTAGGAACTCATTTGCATAAAACAAGTAGGTTAGGGACCTCTATTGCAATTTTTTCCTTTATTTTATTGCTATCAATGGATCAGATCAAACTAATCATCCTTCATTTTCTGAATCAGACAACTATAGTAGTCCGACGGTCGGCATACTGCCTTCTTCCCTGTACATATTTTGTGCTGATATATTTGCTTCTTCTAGTAGAATTAGAAAGTTAATGATAGTTCCCTTCCTTTCTATGTATCATGTATGCTAGGATGTTCACTGTTGAATGGCTCCCATTTAGTTAAGAGTCTGTTTGAGCCACATTATTCCAAAAAAATACATTTTTAAACAGTAATTTGACATCATTTCAATCACACATTCTTCAATAAAATAATATTACACGCAGATCAAAAAAATTTCCTTATTTTTTAACCACACATTTCCTATCAATGCACTATTCAAGAATGTATTATTACCAAAATAATGTGGCTCAAACACCCCCTAAATGTCCAAAATGGACTATTATTTCATTTGCAATTAAGTGAAACTTTGAAGTACTGGATGTACCATTTGCATTTCCAACACAACCATTTTTAAAGCATTGGAAATATAAACTGTAACAAGCTCTTGCATAAATATTAACTGCAATTTTATCTGTTTACTGTGGCTTTAAAATGCATCATTGGCTGTATAAACTGGATGTACTGAATGTACCATTTGCATTTCCAACACAACCCTTTTTAAAGCATTGGCAATATAAACTGTAACAAGCTCTTGCATAAATATTAACTGCAATTTTATCTGTTTACTGTGGCTTTAAAATGCATCATTGGCTGTATAAACTGGATGTACTGAATGTACCATTTGCATTTCCAACACAACCCTTTTTAAAGCATTGGCAATATAAACTGTAACAAGCTCTTGCATAAATATTACCTGCAATTTTATCTGTTTACCGTGGCTTTAAAATGCATCATTGGCTATATACTTATCTACCTTATAAATTCAAATATAAATTTGTAACATACGTGTCGGTAACTCTTTCTGTTTACTTGATATTCTGGCATACCTTTTTTTTTTTTACTTGACTCCCACAAGTTTCCCACGATAATGGGGCAGCCATCTGTTCAAGATAGTAAGACTTTTTATTGCTAGGATATCATACATCTGAAAATAATTGAATTCTGTTCAAGATAGATTTCCTGCAATGGCTGTCAGATGTCAGCAATCACCACCACCACAATAAAAGAACTGGTTTGCATTTCTCTGTACAACTAATGGACATGCAAATATTGGTTGTTTAATCGTCTACTTTAATGTTTTGATAATATATTCATTAGTGGAAGTTCATGTTTTTAGAATTGCATAATATATTTTATGTGTGTCAACTTCTTGTGTGTCTGTCATTAAGTAAAACACGTTATATTATTAAAATTTTCTGTATGAAAATTTCTGATTGTATGCTAGGATCTACTGTTCTTGATAAGATGTATGATTGTGCAGATATCATCTTGGATCTGATGCAGTGATGCTCATAGAATGCATGTACAACATGTATAAAATGAAATTTAAAAAAAAAAAAATTGAAAATGAGCAGCGATGGATGCAATATTGTCCACAATACCATATTAAGTCAGGTCACAAAAAGATGCAATTCAGTTTGAAGGGCGTGATCTGTAAACATTGCAGATAGATTGGGATGAATAATATGTCAGTTTTTGGTAGGACTCAATCGAATTAGCCCCTGTTTGGGTTCCATTAATTTAAATTATGATGAAAGGAATAGTGATTTTTTAAAGAATGTGTGATAAAAAATGAATAAAAAGTTTTTAGGTTTAAGTGTAATATTATTTTATTGAATAATGTGTGATTGATAAGAAGAGAGAGAGAAATGAATTTTAATTTAAGGGTTATTCCATATGTATCGAATGGTGTCCCTCCTCACGATGCATGCGGCCCCGCGTGAATTTAAAAATGCCGACATGTGTTCTCCACTCCTGTTCTGAGTAGTCGGTAAAAAAATTCGGTACGTATATCAAGGACAATACTACATATACATAATTTTTTTACCTAATCCTTTACCTACTACTTACAATAGGGGGTAGGACTACATTTGAAAATTTTTATATTCATGCACGACCCGTGTGCATTGTGAGAGGGGGAACAACTTTCAATACCTCCAATTCGGTACAAATAGAATTATTCTTAATTTAATAAGTGCCAAACAGGGGCTTAGTTTTTCCACATTTGTCGTACTAGGATAATTTCAGGGGAAAAGGCACACGATTATGTCTTGTAAGATGGTACTTGCACACGTATAATTTGCAAAAAAGTCGCTTATTAACCTAATAAGCATGAATCAACATTCAACAGTAAAGAGAATGTCTATCTCAGTTTGCCTACGAAATAAGTGCAACAGTCCAAATCTTTAGATATTTTCACAATTGATATGCCGATGCTATGCTAGAGAGTTTCTTTCTAGTTTAAGATCCGGCGGACACTGTCTTCATGAGATGATTAAATGTAAAGGCTCATCTGGCACGTGACACTTTTTCTTGGGGTTTCTTTGTTGTTGCTTAAAATATATTTAATGTTGCTAGTTAACCAAATGCACGCAGTAATTAATTAAGAACTTATAATTACATGCGATAATATATGTTGTACAGGAAGAACTGGAACAGCTTGATAAAATTGAGAAAGCATCAGCAGCTTGTAAGGAGTAAGTAAGAGAAGATACTTAGATGACGTACTATTTATCTGCTGTCAGCATTTCATTAATCGAATTATTGTTCTTGACAGAATGCTGACGAACGTTGAAACCAAGCCAGATCCACTACTTCCACTGTAAGTTACTTTTAGAATGCTTCTCACGTCCTTAATTTGTCCAATCAACCTTGAATAAAAAGTGTATCTTTAGTATGCAGTACTCAGCACACTACTGAAGATTACAATGAACAAGATTACTGCTGCTTTTCTTTTTATTACTGTCCTATGGTGTCGAATTCACTTTACATGTAAAGGGCTTGGTTATTTTTGTGTATCAGAACGAATGGTCCTACAAATCCGACCTGGGACAGATGGTTTGAAGGACTACAAGATTCTTCTGGCTGCCGGTGCTGGATCTTATGATGGTCAGGGGCATTATTTCAAGATTTGAACTTAGAAGAAACTGGCGCCTTTTCGACGTGCAACATTTATAGACAGAATGCACTTCAAATACAAGTGCTTCATTGTGCAGAAAATGATAATTTTCCATGTTTTTACTGAATCAACATCCAAAAGTCTAGGATTTTTGGGGGTGATTAGGTGATGTATTGTTTAACGGATGTTCAATCACGTGTGGCATTGTGCAGACGATAATAAGTTTTTTTAACACCAATTTTAGTTTTGTTTGGAAAATAATTTCTCCTATGTGATCATTAATGGCGGCATACGAACATACAAGATGACTTACCCTTTTTTATTGTATTTGTATGTTGGTGATTAATATTAGTTTCAATAAATCTGTAGAATTATTTTGTTTAATTACCAAATTCATGGTTAGATTTTCTCTGGTATTCAGCAAGACCTTTCAATATTCATCTTGAAAGAACTTAACTCGACTTAATCGAAACGAGCAAAAAGAAGAAGGGAAACATGGAAGTTGGAACTCCTCTATTTCGAACACGACAAGGTCGTAATACCAAACAACATTGTTTCTCAAATTATTGTAAAATTTGATCACAAATTCAAGAAAATAAAGCAAAAATTAGTCAAGAACATGAGTTAGAAAATGAAAATGAAAATGAAAATGAACATTCACATCATTGTTCATCTTGAAACCAACTAACTTATAATGGCGGGCGCGGTTCAATTTACAACTCTACATGCAGTTTACAATTATATAATTTAATAATTTACAATAATAAGACCAAATACACCCACGCATGTATGCTGCATAGTATTAATTATCAAAATCATTTAGCCTTTATTCGCAAATCAAATTCTTGGCTATATAACAAAAGTTGCATTCATAGAATTTGTGGTCAAATGCATACTATTAATTTACTAAAATCAAGTTTTTGAGTTATGTCTCAAAAATCTCTATCAATAAATCTTTCTAGTAATTGTTGGATATTGGTTAAATAAATCGAGAATTGAAAATCGATTAAAGTGACTTCGTATCGACTTCGGCCAAATACTCAAAAGCTCGACTCAATCCGTTTAGGCAAAATTGTTTGGTATATTTGGCATTTCGAAAACCAATATCGGATGAATGAGAAATTACGAAAAAGGACGAAAATCAGTGAATAGACACATTTTCATAAAGGTGCATTGTTTAGAAAGGGTGCATGGTTTGGCCTCAACCATTAATGAATAGACACCTTTTCATAAAGGCCATTAGTGAATAGACACCTTTTCATAAAGGTGCATTGTTTGGAAAGGGTACATGGTTTGGCCTCAACCATTTCGTCCACACCCTTTCATGGTCTATAAATAGGACCCTTTGGGTGTCCTATTCCTCACAATTTGATATGCAAAACATCTCTCATCCTCTCTTCTATCTAAAATCAAAATCATTTCATTTATTTTGATTTTCCTTCATTTCATCCTTGGAGTACATAAGCCTAAATTTGGTTCGTTGTACTTGTGTTTTGGAGTGCTACAAACACAAGTGTAGTCGTTGTATCTTGGGAGTCGATTGCCGAAATCCGTAGGCACCGTTGCGGGGCAAATTCGACTTAAGGACAAAGAGTCCAACTCTTGCCTCGGCTTTGTCCCTACTTTCTTCTTCTTCTTGTTTGTGTTTTCTTTGCCGTTACTCTGTCCAATTTTCGGCACGGATTTACAAACCATCATTATACTTATTTTGGCGTCACTATTCACAAAATTCATCCAACAATCTTAAGTCGAATTTTATATATATTTTGTGAAAGTGACATTCTTGCTTGGTTAAACTTGTTAAGTTTAACTTCTTCTTCACTTCTATTTTTGGTTGATCTTCTGTTTTACATACGGTTCTTAATACCGATACTACTTCGAATGAAACTTCGAACATGGGAACTTCTGAAGGAAGTGTTCCTACCAATGTGATTCCTCCGGTTGTGGGTGCCCCTACTATCGTACATTCAAACTCCGTTTCACATGGGGAAAAGCCGGAGAAATTTGTTGGGGTTGATTTCAAAAGGTGGCAACAGAAAATGTTGTTTTATCTCACAACCCTCAACTTGGCAAAATTCTTGAATGAAGATCCTCCCGCCATACAAGAAGGGGAAAACAATAGGGCATCTTTGATTGCTTTGGATGCATGGAAACATTCGGATTTCTTATGCAAGAATTACATTCTTAATGGCTTGGACAACGCCTTATACGGTGTATATTATTACAAGAAATCTGCAAAGGAACTATGGGAGTCCTTGGAAAAGAAGTACAAGACCGAAGATGCCGGAACCAAGAAGTTCATTGTGGGAAAATTCTTGGACTACAAAATGGTAGATTCGAAGACCGTCATCAGTCAAGTGCAAGAATTGCAAGTCATACTCCATGACATTCATGCGGAAAATATGTCCGTGAGCGAATCATTTCAAGTGGCTGCAATTATCGAGAAACTTCCACCCATGTGGAGGGACTTAAAAAACTATCTCAAACACAAGCGCAAGGAGATGAATATTGAAGAACTTGTGGTCCGATTGAGGATTGAAGAAGACAACCGAAGTTCGGAAAAACGAGTTGGGAATAGCATACCACAAGCAAAGGCAAATGTGGTAGAATCTAGCAACAACAAAGGAAAGAAGAGAAAGCATTCCATTGAATCTACAAAGAAGAATGCAAAGAAGTTCAAGGGCAATTGCTACAATTGTGGAAAGGCTGGACATCGCTCGGTTGATTGTCGCAAACCTAAGAGGCAATCCCAAGCCAACATTGTCGAATCTGATGCCATATCAAATGGCATGTCCAATATGAATTTATCGGCAGTTGTTTCTGAATGCAACCTTGTTGGAAATCCCATGGAATGGTGGGTTGATATGGGTGCAACCCGTCACATTTGTGCCGATAGAGGAATGTTCACATCATACACTCCAACTGAGGGAGAAAAAATGTTTATGGGGA